CCCCAAAACCCCAAAACCCCTAATGTTGATTAAACTAAAAATTTGTTTGATTAGTAAATCAGTATTGATAATTAACAATAAATCTTATACTATTCCATCGAATAACTATTTCAGTAATTATTATGATATTGGCAGAATTGATTTGATTGAGAATATAAATTAGGAGGGAAATGACTGACTATAATAATTAAAAACAAATACTAAAACAAAGCTTAAATGGAGGACAATTTTGACGAAGATTCAGTTCGAAACCCATAAGATTCGAGTAGTAATTAAATATATTAATAATTTTAGGCTAGTCAAGCTTAAATCTATAAGAATGTTTGGAATAGAAATATCTTATTCAAAGTAAGCATTTGTTGGATAATGAATTTAGTTAAAAATGGCGCTAATCTACCATATTAGCATAAGCTAGATATTATGGATACTAAAGTTCACTTTCCAATTAACTAACCTTATCCTTAGCAAGTGAAGTATATGCACAGAGTTATAGAAGCATTAACTTAAAATAATGGTTAAAATGCCTTACTTGAAAGTCCTACTGGCACTGGAAAAACTTTGTCACTTTTATGTGCATGTTCTTCTTGGTTAAAGGAGGCAAGAGAAAGATGGTTTGAAGAAAATAAAGAAAAATTAAGACACTTCGATAGCTATGGTCAATAAATTTCCAATGAAGAATATAAAGCAATATTAATGGATTAAATCCCTTAAAAGCCGAAAATAATCTTTGCTTCAAGAACACATTCTTAACTTGAATAAATCTATAAAGAGATAGACAAACTTCGTTATGATTTGAAAACTATAACAATAGGTTCTAGAGATTAGTTTTGCATAAATGATGAGATTGACAAGAACTTGTACTATGTAAATATTTTGAAAAATATTATTATTTTATCATAGGGATAACTCTTAATTTAAAAGTGTGATGACATACGATATTTTAGTAGCAAATAGTAGATTCTATAACAAAAAGTACTGTCTGAAATCAAAGAACTATAAATGGAATCTTCAATAGGAGAGGAAAAAGAAAGAAATGCAGAACATGATGATAGAATACATTCTCAAATTCATGGCTTTGCTTAGTAAAAGAACATCAATGGTAAAAGCTAGCGAGATAAAACTAATGAGAAAATTAGAAATTTAACTAGTAAAGTTAATGAAATAGCTATGAAAATTGACAATGCCAAAAAATGCATATATTTTGAAAACACAAAAGATGTTAATATTTTTAAAAAATTTGAAAGCTTAACAATTTCACAGCATGTATAGAGGTAAGTTACTTAATATTTAAACCTATTTTTAGGGCTAAGGTGCATAATTAATGTCCATTCTTTAACTAGAAATAATATATTGCTGAAGCAGATATTATTTTAATACCTTATAACTATATTGCTTAATCTAAAATCCTAAAAGCTAAAGGAATTAGCATTGAAAATAGTGTGATTATAATAGATGAAGGCCATAATATTGGATAATGTGTCTAAGACTTGAGTAGTATTGAGATTAATGCAAAATTTCTGAATAAATGTTACTAGGAGATTGAGAATTTACAAAATAAATAAAATGCTAAATATTAAATATTGCTATTACTAGAAAATGTAGGAAAGTATGTAAATGATTTACTTATTTATCTACAAAATTTGAATGACTAAAAATTGCAAAAATTAAGAGAAGATAATGATTCAAGAGCATAAAAAGACCTAGTAATATTGAAATTATCGAAGCTAGCGGAGATTTTATGTATTTAAGTTGGCATTAACCAGGAGCAATAAAGAAGCAGATCTATTGAAAATTTTATGATTTCAGATAAAGTTTAAAACAAGAAAAGTAATAATTATTTTACTAAAATGCAGGAAGATGTTTTTTAGATCATTACATACATTAAAGGATAATCTGATTAAAATGCATAAGAAGAAGAGAAAAAATCTTATGAATAGAATCAAGCGGTAGAAAAGAAAAAAAAGAGATTATAGCTTGAAAAATGGCACTCAATATTAGGATAATTAAGTGATTTATAAGATGAATACCTTGAAAATGCAGTTATTAATTCTAAATACGCTTTCTATATCTAAAAAAGAGTTGTAAAACAGAAAGATCAAAATTAATATTCAACTGACTATATTTTAGGTATTCATCTAACAGAAGCATCTCCTTAATTCAAGAAGCTATAAAGTTAAAAGCCAAGGTCGATAATCATTACAAGTGGAACTTTAGCTCCTTTAAAGAACTTAGAAGCTGAATTAGGTATTGATTTCAATATTAAGCTAGAGGGAAATCATGTGATAGATAAGGAAAATGTAAGCATGAATCTATTATTCGCTGATAAGAAGACTTAGTTTAAGATGAGATATCATAATTTAGAAAACAATGATGAATTAATCCTAAAGACTGGTCGAGTCATAGAAAATATAATTAAAACAGTAGAGGGTGGAGTCTTAGTATTCTTTTAGTCCTATCAAAAGATGGAAAATTACAGTAAACTTTGGCGAAATAATAATATCCTGAGATAACAAAAGATAAATAGAAGAATTTAGATGGAAAGAAGAAATAATTAAGAACTATTCCAAGCATTGGAAGAATTTAGAAAAGATAATGAATCAGAAAATAGTATTGGAGGAGTATTCTTTGGAGTATGCAAAGGCAAACTTAGTGAGGGTATTGACTTCTCTGATAATGATGCAAGGTGTGTTATCATCCTAGGAATACCATACTCTGACTTTAATGATGCTAAAACAGTAATTAAGCAAGAAATCCTTGACTAGAAATTTAGAAACAAAACTTCTCCAATTAACGGGCAACAATGGTATGAGATGGATGCCATGAAGTCTATTAATTAAGCAATGGGAAGAGTGATCAGGCATAAAAATGATTTTGGTACTATAGTTATTATTGATAGTGGGCTTCAAAACCAAAAAATGAGATCGAAACTGTCTAAATGGATAAAAGATGATGCATTTACTTTTGAAGACGCTGATAAACTCTACAAAAGAATTGATAATTTCCAGAAAAGAATGAAAGAAAAATATCCCAAGGCTTTTCCTTCGAAAAGATATAAGCACATTTCAATTTCGTACGAGGATGAGGATAGATAAATGTAAGAATTATTCATGACTGCTGAAGATAAATTATAAAATCAATTGAAATAAGCACAAATTCAAAACATCAATCAACCATAAAGAAGAGTTCTTAACTAAAGTTTCATAATAAATAAGAAAAAAGTAGGTTAAAACTAAGTCATTTAAAAGGAAATAAAGCCTGAAATTGAATTTGAATTTAATGAGGAAGAGATAAATGAGGATGATTTGCTTGATTGTTTAGATGATATTGATAATGACTCAAATGATTTAAGTCAAGATAATGGAGAAGAAAATGTTGAAGCTTCCATATTAGGTAAAAGACAGAGAAAAGAATGAGGCTATTAAAACTAAATTATTATCATTATTTATTGCCAGATATTTAAAGTCAAATTTAACTGTGAAATGGGTATTACGGGGTTTTGGGGTTTTGGGG